GAGGCGTACTGAACTGAACATGCTACATGAGTCAACGCAAACTCTCTTGTATCGACTCATACTGAGTCTGCAACATTGCATGTATCGACACATGCTCCTACGTATCGACTCATCCTGAGTCTAAAAGCCTTCATGTATCGATGTAGGACTCCTTCGTATCGACTTATCCTGAGTCTAAAGGCCTTCTTGTATCGAAACATAGCATTTGGGGTCGACACATACTGCTTTTTCATGAATATTTTCTATGATTTCACTGCATTTTCACTATGGTTTCCACACTTTAGGCCCTAAAAACATATTCTAATAATAGATAATCATCAATTACAATTATCCTATAATTCTACATCAAATATACAGCATTGGGACATCATTATTCATCCATAACTCATCGATTTTCATCATACAACATCATATATAATTTAATCATAAACCAAACAATCTTTTACCTCTAACCACACATACCAATTATCTTGAACCCTATTATAGAGTCAGAACCCCACCCTTACCTTGGATTGAAGGTTGCTCTATAACTTTTCCGATTGATTTTCCGTTCTGCCTCTTTCCTCCTTTCCAACAGCTTTCACGTTCTCTTCTTCCAACCCTTATTCTTTCTCTCTTACTGCTTCTTCTTTTCTCCTTATTATTTCTAACAATAATAAAATAACCCTATTATTCTCTTTATTCCTTAATGGGCTTAAGACTACTACACCCCCTTATTACTACTTCTATCCTTTAAAACAAGCCCACATCAAATAATATTATCCTTCTCATATTATTCCACAACTTAATAAAATAATTAAATCCAACTAATCACGACACATCAACTAACATAACAACACAACTTCACAAATAATCCAAAAATAATTTAATTAAATAATTAATTAAATTACGGGTGTTACACTGGAGACCATAACTCTTGTTATAATTGGAATTTATTATGCTTAATATTTTGTTTGTGTTGGTTATATAAAAGCATGAAAAGGATCAAGACATTTTTGTTTCATTTTGAGCACAACTACCTAACCAAATATCCAATTGTCCTTGTGAGTGTGTGACTACTTGTAACCCCTTTGAGCCTTTTGTCACTGTCCATATTCTTTAAATTTTATGCTTTTCTATAAGTAGTGATTCCACGTTATTGCTACATTACCTTTGAAATATGATTGCATGAATAAATATATTACATGTATGCTCATAATTATCTATCATGCCATAATTAGAAATACTTGAAAATTGAAATATGTTTGCATATTTACATCTTTTACTTTCCTTTTTTATCTCGACAAAGGGGGAGAAGTATACTCTCTAGGGGAGGGTATACAATCTATCTAACTCAGTGGAAGTATTATCCCTCCAATTATATATTACTTTGTTTCTTTTAACACCTCCCCTGAAATATGCATTGTCGTCATCAAAAAGGGGGAGAATGTGGAACCTTGTTTTACAGGTTACAAATGTTGTTTTGGTGATGACAATTATCCTTCAAAGATGCAACTGTGAAGATACCCAGCATGATAAATATGAAACAAAATAAAAAATGTAAAAGAGAAGAAAAGATAACATTCAGCATAGTAAAATATGCAATCATTTAGAAAAAGTCAACAAATATACTCAAGCAGTTAAAAATGCAAGTCAAGGGTTTGATAAAGGGTTGACAAAGATTCAGACATAGATAAAGCTCCAGACATCAACAAATTATCATATAAAGGCAACCAAATGGATTATATAAAAAGCCTTAGGAGATCTCAAGCAAAGTGTCAACATAATGAATACATCAGACATGGGATTCGGTAAGTTATCCTAATTTAGTAAGTGAGTGAAACTTTTGTAAAAGAAAAAGTTTGGTCTTTATAGAAGTAGTTGGCTATAAGTACACACACACTTAAAATTTTTTTTTATAAAATGGTTCTAAAAATAAAATACTTTAAATAAATATATAAAAGTTGCTTAGGAAATGATGAGAACATTAAAAAAGCCATAAAAATATTTTTTAACTAAACCTAATCGGTTAAGACAAAGTGTCTATCGATTAGATTAGAGCGCTTATGAGAATAAAGGCAGTTTGAATGTACCCAAACGATTAGCAACGACTACAAATCCCTTCTTACCTATTTTGGAAATCATAGCAGTTATTTTTAAATGAACTAATCGATTGGCTTAATCGATTAGCAACATTAATTTTTGAATTAATGATGTTTCCTATTTTAGAGGATTTGAACCCTATAAATAGAGGTCTCATTCCTCGGTTCAAATCATCCAGAATACGAAATGTGTATTGACACACGCTCACCTCTCTCTCTCTCTCTCTCTCTCTCTAATTTTTAATTATGATTTTCTCTCACTAGTTCTTATAGTCAAATTCTTTTGTAAGGAAAGATATTTTGTGAGTGAGATGTTTATGTAATTCTGGATGGTTAGCAATGTAAAAGTTATTCAAGTTTGTTATTTATGCGCCTTGGATGAACACAACCCATTTTAGGGATAAAAATATGTAGTTTGAATCTAAACTTAATAAAATATTTAGTTGGGGAGTGTGTGATTAGTTCCCATGATTGATTAGGTTGGAGATTGTTAATATTGATGCATTTCCCTTAAGGCTCTTTGAAAGCCTTGTTTATTCAAAGGTTGAAGATTATCAATATTGATGAACTCACCATTAGTTTCATGGTTAGCCCATTTAAAACCATAGGTTAGAAGATCATCCTGTTAAAATCTCTAGAGGTTAATAGTTATCATGTTAAACCATATTGAGCATAAATATTTCATGGAGAGAAGTTTAATCACTTCAATCTACAAATGGGAATGAAGCTTGGCAACTTCAGTCTCAGTAATAGAGAAGACGCAAACAATCATATCCTCTATCTTATATTATCATGGTTATAGGACAACCACCATTTCCTTGTATAAGGGGTTCCTGAGCTTCACCTACTAAAAGCTCTCAAGTATATAACGGAAACTCTCAAGACTAGTTCTTGGGGAGAGGAGAGGGTCCTTTTAATTTTACTGAACCTCTATAATTCTCAGTGTCCCGTTTACTTTATTTTCTCATTTTAATTTTTATCTTTCCGTTGCTTAAGTTGTAGAATAATATTTTTTAAACTCTGATTTTAAATCTCAAAAAAAAATTCAAAACCATGTTTTTCCAAACCTTATAATCCACCCCCTCTTATGTGTGAAGTCTCAAGTTCTGGACAATGTGTAACAACCCCTAGTGGATAAGGGTTGTCAGAGGCTTCAATTTTATTGTGGTATTGAGAGATAGCTCACATTAGGTGAGAAGATATTGTATCTATGTATTTTCTTTGTGTTATTGGTTGTCTTTAAGTATCACGATATTGGTGTATTTGTAGTCCTAAGGGTCTGAAACTGAGTCTTCCTAAAATGTAGCATTCATTCCAAGAATAAGTGGTTGATTCCCTGAAATATAAGAAGTGAATTTAAATCTCATGATCCCTTATGTAACATTTGTTGACCTAATACACATTTTACACGTGATTGCGTTCTATGAACGGGGGAGTTAGGATTCAGGTGATGTATCAAAACAAGGGGCGCTCTATTCGAAAGAAGGGTGCTCAACCTAATGAATGGGATACTTGGAAAGTAAAAACGGATAAACTTATGTATTTTGCTCTGCCTCCAGGGTCTCTTCCAATTTTACCACTACAAGTCCCTAAGGCAAGACTAATTAGAGTCGAGTCCCTCAGGCGAGACTTTTAGAATCGAGTCCCTCAAGAGAGACTTAGAGTCAAGTTCCCCTGGCGAGACTTTTAGAGTAGAGTCCCTTAAATGAGACTTCATAAAGGTGAGTTTGTCCAACTCTTAAGCCATTGCTTTTATTTTGTTTCCTCGCTAGAGGATCTTTGCACACCTCTCTCTGAGATCTTTAATGATAATAATTTTTCCTTAGATGATATGTTTATTGATTATTGTTGTTTCTTGATTTGGAAAATATGCCTTATGAGGCTTAACCTTGGGGGAAATATTATTTTCAATCTTGATTTGAGCGAGATGGCCTCTTAGAACGATAATGATCTTTCAATGAAAGTTTATCATACAATTCTCTCTTTGGTGGCAAGGACCCTTCAGCAAAGGTCCATCATATAATTGCCTCGTATGGAGGCAAATATCCTTTAGTGAAGGTCCAAGATATACTTTTTTTGTAGGGCGATAATGATTCTTCAGTGAAGGTTAAGAAGGATACTCTATAGTGTTCAATGATAATGTAACTTCTTGTGATCGACTCTTGCTACTTTTGAGATAAGTTCAGTCGCCTTGTATTTTGATATTCATGAAGCAGTTTTAATACATTTCACCTCTATGTAGGCGACTTGTTGCCTTTTTACTTTGTTCGTGACAAATCCATTATTTTTTATTGTCGTTATTCACCATTTTTGTCTAATAAACATGGAACGTGATTAACATTGTCTGCCAAATTAGTTCTCAGAGTCTGCTTTCCGATTAGCTCCTTGAGTCTTCTTGTCAGTTAGCTCGCCAATCTTAAGGTAATTTACATTTATTGTAGTCCAGTCTTCTTGAAAAAATAAAACATCTTGAAATTGATTGTGAGGGAGAAATTACAATTTAGTCACATAAATTTAAGTTATTGCATGTGTCTTTCAAAAACCAACTTGTAGAACTTTTTATAAAATATTTGTTCCCTCAATCATTCAACACTTTTATATCCAAGTTCGAAATGATAGGCATCTATCAATTACCAACTTGTGGAGGACTATTACACCATAGAGAAGGAATTCAACCATAATAATAATAGTTTTAGTTTTAATGTCTTGTATGTGCACAAAGACTATAATTTACCTATAAATATTATTAGTATATTACACCTTACTCATTAATGAGATGTGTAATTTCATTTAATTTTATTGTTCCATAATAAGTTGTAAACTATTAATTTGAGATTTTCTACAATCTTGTTTCTCTAAACATCAAATATAACACAACTTTGTGTATTTCTTGCTCATCCTTTTTTTATAGAAACAAACTTAACACATTTTATTATTTAAACGTTGCTCAATACAAGGAGAAATCAAATTAATAACACTACGCCTAGTCCAAGAATTAACCGTTTTTGCTAACGAGTGGGCAACTAAATTTGATTGGCGTTTAGTTAATTTGACCTCAAAGTTGGGATAAAGTTGTAACAAACTCTTAATAGACAAAAAAAATTAAGTTAAATTCAGAACTACCATTATGCTTAGATTGAATCTCTTGAACCACCATTTGAGAATCACTTTCAAAAATCACATTATTTAGATGCATCGATATAGCTCCATGAATTTACTCTTTCAAAGCCATGGCTTCTGCTTCTATGATGGAGAGAAGGCCAAAGTCTCAAGCTACATCTGCAATAATAAATCTACCAAAGTTATCTCTCTCACACACCATCCCTTATTAGTAGTATCTCATTGATTATTGAATCCCGCATCTACATTAAATTTCACCCGCCCTTCATTTGGAGGGTTCTAAACTATTAGGTGGTGTTAGGCATTCTCAGAATCCAGATCCTCTTGAGTTGTAATCATGCCAATTACAGAAAGCTTGCATACCTAGCTTTGGTACCTCCTCGCGGTCATTATTCCAAATAAAGTTATTTATATTCTTCCAAAGCACATAAATCATAACTATAACTCTACCAACAACCCTCGTATCCCCCTTACTACAAATATCAATAATAAGGGTCTTAGCATCATTAAGGAATGTAAACGAGATTCTATAATAGCGGACAAACATGTTTCCCTCCAACACTAGTTAGTAGCAAAACAACCAAAGATCACATGCCAATCATCTTCATCCATATTCTCGCAAAGTTAACAATTTGAAGAACATTGAACATAATGTTGATGAAGCCTACATCGATTCGGTAAATAACCCCTACAAATATTCCATAATAAGTGTTTGGCTCTAGGAGACGCTTTAATGTTCCATAGACTACACCAATTCCCATCCACGCTCATATTCACCTCATTCGATTGAAAATTCCACCACATTTTATACCCAAATCTTACACTGTAAACTCCACTTTGGTCTTCTTTCCAAATCATAGTGTCTTCTAACACATCCTTCAACCATGGGACCTTTAAGATTTCTTCTGCCACTACATGATCAAACAAATATCTTATCGCATGCACATCCCATTATTTAACATTAGACAACATGAGACTATTAACATTAAGATCATACACACCTTGCCCTTAAGGATCACCCAAGCATCCTTCTCTTTTACCTCGTAGTCAAGGTTCGTTCATTACCTTAATTTTACTTTCATACCCAATACACCACCTACAACCAAATGTTAATACATTTATAGCTTTCCAAAGACTTCACCAAACAAAATTCGGATTATTACCAAGATTAACTTCGAAAAATAAGGACCTCGGATAGTACATTGCTTTGAAGATGCTAGAAACCAATGTATGTGGTTTTTTCATCATATGCCAACTTTGTTTAGCCACCATAGCCATGTTAAAAGCTCTGAAATCTCTGAACCCAATTCCCCCATCCTCTTAGTACAAGTTAACTTCTCTCACGTCATCCACCTTATACCCTTATTATTATTACCTTCACTCCACCAAAAGGAATTCACCATCTTCTCAATATCACTCACCATGATAAAAACACTCATAGTATAAGATGGTATTGATTGCAAGATCGAATTTATAATCACCTCTTTTCCTACTTTAGACAATGACCTACCTCTCCAAGAATTTATTCTTTTCCATATTCGGTCCTTATAAAAGCAAAGGTAGTATTTTTACTTCTACCAATCATCGAAGGTAATCCTAGATACGTATTCATTTCCAACACATGACAGGCTCCCATTATAAGAACAAGATCCTCTTGAACCGTTCTACTGATATTACAGCTAAAAAATACTTTAAACTTAATCATATTTATCTCTTGACCCGACACATCTGCATATGTATTAAACAATTCCATAATATGTATCACCTCAGATAAATTAGCCCTGCTAACAAAAAACAATCGTGCAAAAACAATTTTAACATCGTTTGTCTCAAATACTCCCTCCCATAGGATAGCAACAAAACATTTCAAAGTTTCAAACTATCTATATGATCACATCATGATAAGGAGTATCAAAATGTACGGGGTCAAATAGTACTTTCATCTCTCATTCCTCACCGAACAAGATAAGAACATATTCAAATAGAGGTTGAGATACATTCCTTTCTCATACGAAAGCGTGTGTATGCTAGCGTGAGTTGCATTAGAATTTCCAATTTTTATGTTGATAACCGTATTAATATTCCAACTTGATAACGTTTCTATTCAACAACTCTTTCAAAGTGATATAATAATTGGCTATGATTAATGTTTGGTCTCATGCAAGCTTGAAATTTGAATTCAAAATCTCACAAAATTGGGTACTATGCATTCCAAAGAAGACGCGTCATTGGTGTGACATGCTGCTGCTCATGTATCCGAGATAGCATACAATGTTATGACCCAATTGTTTCCATCAAAATTAAATTCTGCAACTATTAAATGATACTGTATGAAAGATTAACATCCAAAAGAAGAGCAGAAGTAGAGGACTAGTACTTTAAAACCGTCCAATTTCATGTTCAGCTTATTGTATCAAAATCAAAAAGAGTAAACAGTGAAGTGAGATACAATTCAAATCACTAAATTTTATTATTAGAATTCCACTAATAGTTAGTGAAATTATTCCATGTAAATTAGTCATTGTTCTTGAAAAAAATAATAATAATCTGATTAATTTTTATGATATTAGTCGGGAGGAATCGCAAAAGTGTAAGACCATTCACATTTAAAGATTCTATTTGAGTTCTTTAAATGAATCCACTTAATTTATTTGGATTCTTTAAATGAATCCATTAAATATTTTATATTATTTTATTATATTTTTTAATTATTTAAATAATTTATCTATAATTTTAAATATAATAAAATATATTTTTTGGTTTCGTAAGATAATGTCAATGTTTATTTTAGTCTCTTAACTTAAAAAAGATTCATATTAGTCATTTAAATTTTCAAAACGCTTCATTTTAATCTTTTTTTGTCTAATTAGCGATAAATTTAACAATTGATTTTTGAGTTTTTCCGTTGCTAATTAAATAAAAATGACTAAAATGATAACCAAAATGAACCTTAACGTTAACATACGGGACCAAAAAAGATATTTTACCTTTAAATATTCATACAATCTATCAAAAACTTTAAAATGGTTCTCATTAAACACTAATATATTTCTATCTCAATTCAAGTGTAGGGACGTTGGTGGACACAATAATGTTTGCAAATTAAAGCACGATAATGTAAGTTAATTATCCATAATATTTTGATAGAATGACTTTGAAGTATGTGTATGAACGGTTAGCTGACATCGATGTTTATGCTCTAAAGAATTTCGTAGCTGATGTGTTTTTGGAAGGGATGCATGGCTACTATTGTTCGCGGTTCAATATTTTCACGTGTCTCCTTTTTATGTTATTCATAGGTTGGCCCTTTTGTGCAGCTTCGACCCCTCTTTTATAGCGTAGACGCGTTTTTAAGAGGTCTAATGACCATTCAATCCATAATGTATGTAATCACTATGTTTATAACAAGTTTAAATATTGTAATGTAATGATGACCCTTGGTTGGCCCATTGGATACTGTAACGATAACACGCTACTGGATGTGGCTTTCCAGAATCCGAGATGGGAAGTCCATCCCAGCTATTCGACCTGTCCCAGACTATATATCAAAAAATTTGGGATGTACGTAAGCCCCCTGTTGTACCCCAAAATTTGCCCTCCCATATTCTTCAAGAATTGCCAAGTCAAAGCTTCAAAATCTCCCCAAGGGTTGCACAGTTCAAGGGCCTCCTGACAGTCAAGATTAGGGTTTTGATTCTGATCAAGAAAATGAAGTTTCCAAGGGTCCAATCAAGTCCCACATGCCTATAAACATGGTCAAGCATCCTCATACAAAGTTTCAAGACTTTCAGCACAAAATTGCACAGTCAAAACCCTAATTGCACTACAGTCAACTGTAGGGGCAAAATGGTCATTTGACAGTCAAAAGTTCAATTTTTTTGTCAACATCTCATTTTGAAGCCACAAACATCATTTGATCAATGCTTGATCATGATTCTCAAAGTTTGGCTCAAAAATCATCAAGATGCAAAAGTTTCCTTATTTGGACAGCTGAAAAAGTCAACTATAAATTGACTAGGGCATAACTTTCACATGGATTATCAGAAAAATTCCATCCAAAGCTCATTTTGAAAATAAAGACATTTCCTACAACTCCTTTTCATACTTCAAGTCCAAGAAATGCTCTCACAAAAAGTTATCAATTTCAACATTATAGGTCATTTTCAAAAGTCAACAAAAAGGGACTTTAAGTCAAAGGCCATAACTTGAGATTGGTAAATCAAAATGACATGGGACAAAAGGCATTGGTTAGAGGACTCAAAGACCTTTCCAAAATGTCCAAGAACATGAGCAAAGCTTAAAAATTTAGCAAGTTATGCCTTGTGGAAGTTGGGAAATTTTTGGATATTTTGAAAAGTCAACATTGATTCAAATGACCTAAAATTGCTAATGGGCCTCTTTTTCTTCCACAATTCATTATCCAAGGCATGTGCACGACCATTTGGCCCAAAGGGAGGTTTTTCTTCATTATTTATTTATTTATTTGGATTTTTATTATTAATAATTCATTTAAATTAATTAAAATACATGAAAAATGTTAAACCTACTATTTCAAATCTTTTTGTGCATATAATATCTTCAATATTTCGTGCAAATCAAATTAGGGAAGAATTGAAATTGATTGGATATGATTGAGAGCTAAAAAGCATGAAAAAGATTGAAAAATTATGGTTTGCAAATCAAATCTTTTTCACATCAATGCATGGATTTTAATCAAGTTTCTTAACCTAAATCATCCTCCTATACATACACAAGCAAGACCTAATGCTCATTACCTAAAGGCTGCGCATAAACTCCATTATCAAACTCACACTTTTGGCCTAAAAAATTCAAAACTGAAAACAAGGTTAGAGGACGATTCAAGGCAAAAGACTTGTGCCATCACCTTCCTGAAGCTTCAAGGAAGGATTTCCAATCAAAATCATTCATCCTAACATCAAGAATTGGTAAAAACGAACGTGCCCTGTACAGAAAATTTCGTGCATTCGTACATCATGAATCATGCGTTTTTGGCACTTTTTAATGTTTAATTCATATTCATTGTTTGATTCTAATGCTAACCAAATAGTTTAATTGTGTTTTCGTGCGTTATTAGAGATTTCACCATTGTTGGGCATTAGGGTTTTCCAAATTGTGAATTGGGGGTTTTCGTTTAAGGAACAATTGGCATACAAGACCCAGACCATCAAGATCAGGACCTTCATACAAATTCAGTGATGGGGTCGCGCTCAATTTATGAGCCACCCTGAGCTAATCGCTATTTTTTATAATAGTGTCCGAGGGAACGGTTCAAAACCGTTGCCAATGTTTCTTTGTGTTTCAGGAAATCAACAAGCCATGGAGAAGACGATGCAGTGGCAAGCGTTGATTGGCTCGTTCAAAAAATTCGCGCCAGAAATCCATTAGTTATCATATTCGCTTATGTTATTTGTTTGTTATGTAATATACAAAAAGATGAAGTGGAGCAGTTGGCAGGCGTACACGCTGGTGACCCTCAGGACCTGGGTTCGAGTCCCAGGTCCCCCACCCCTTTCTATATATTTTTTCAATTAATACTCATGTGCAATTTCAGTAGTAGTGTCCACCATGCACCCACAAAATCAAACCTGCCACGCGTATGCCAAGAGCAATCCCAGGGCTATAATTGGAGGAGCATCATAGATTTGAGTCAAAGAGGCTACACGCTAATGGAAAAGTCAACCAGGCTAAAGGCCATTGGGCCCAAATTGCTAAAGAAAAACCTCCTACTGGGGACAGACACCCCCCTAGGTTTGAATTTCTATTTCTTTTCTTTATTTTACTTATTTTCAAATATTATTTTTTTTTAATCAGTTTCTTTAATTTAATATTTTCACAAATAATATAAAAAACACAAAAACAATAAAAATCAGAAAAGATAAAAAAAATAATAAATATTTTTATTTTAGTATTTTTGTAAATAAATTGCATTAATTAATTTTAGTTATTAAATTAGGTTTAATTGTAATATTTTCCTCAATAAAAACCTAAAATTGGTAGAATTAGGGTTTATAATCATTTTTATCCCTTTTCCTTTTCTTTCATAATAATTAAATATTTCCTATTATTTATTTTTATAATTAAATGGCATGTAAATAATTAGGTTAAATATTAGGTTAAAATTTAATCTTTTCTTAATAAACTAAAAACAACTAGAGTTAAGGTTAGCATTTTATTTTAATTAATTCTTTTTCATTAAAATCATAAAATACAAAAATACCAAAAAGACAATTTCTTTTCCTTTTAATTTTAATTAATTT